ACAGACTTAACCCAGTGAAGATAGGTGACAACCCAAATGTTTGGTGACAGACAAATTATAAGACATATTTTGTTTTGTTGGTCTTTGTGCCTAATTTTACCAATTGTGCCTATCATAAATGCAAGATATAGTGTTTTTCTGCAGTTAGGTTTTTGCCTGTTGAGCACCAAGTTGATATTTAAAGAAGACTTCAAATAGCTCAAATAAATTATTTAACAGTTTTCCTTTCACTTCTCATAAATATTTACACCCGGGATAGAAAAGCTAACTGGGATTTGGAAGATAAATTGCATATTTCAGAAAAGGAGGGCATTTGTTCCCCCTGGGGTGAGTAATTGAGTGACAAGTCTCAAATGTTTGGAGAGGTCGTGGGCGGATTTCTCGTCGCTATTTATTGTCCGGCGGGATGAAGGATTATCCATTAACGTGGAAGCGTGAAATCCCCTCTTTTTTTGTCGTTGTTGTTATTTACTCAGCCACTGTGCTTCGTGAGAAAGCGGTTAAAGTGAATAATATCCAGAGAACAAATACCATGGGAAAAATACTTGGTGCGTTATCCCTCAAACAAAAATACCGTCTTTGAAAGACATCTCGGGGTCACTGTCGCGGTGGCCGGTGCTTCTCAAGTCAAAGGTGAAGAATATTTGAACTGAAAGGTTACCCCCTTCGCAGACGTTTCGCAGCAGTTAAAACTTTTAGCACACTGTTTCACCGAGTACGATTTATCGCCTCTCTCGCCCGAGAGCTCACGGAGAATCTTGCCAAGTCATATGGTCGTCCTCCGGCCCATCGTTTTTCTCATTTATAATCGGATGGAAGCAATTTGTTCGAGGAAATTGAGCTATTCCAAACAGCGTTCGAACTCCTGTCCACAGATATGGTACCGGTTCGTTTCAGCCCATGAGTCAAGGGTTAAATTAAAAGCATTAGTTTAAAAAAAATGCGCCTACATAGATCATAAAGATTTGAAAGTGGGCTGATACATAATCAGGATTAAATTTGGACGTTGCACATTTTAAAACAAGTGAAAAATTTAATTCCATTTGATATAAATAATGTATATTACTTTTCAACGGCCTGCCTGCTGGGAGCGAAATAAATTTATCTGTAAGACAGATAAATAATAAATAGGATTAATTTAATTTTATTCTTGTTTTTAACCTTCAACTCTAAACTTTTTTTATTCTTTCACGCAATAAAACTCTAATTCTTGAGGAGTATACATTTTGTTTTTGTATCAATTTATTTATTATACACTCACATAGAAGGTAAAGAAAATTTGCCAGGACAAAATTATTAATAATAACATCAAGAGAAATAAGAATCTTTTTTGTCGGCGGGATCTTTACGCTGTTCCCGGCATTCCGAGAATAAGGAAATAAAGGATAACATCATAGTTTGCCAACATACACTGTCATCGTGACAGAAGTCCGTTGTTTGCTTTTCCTTTGAAATGGGTCGGCTCACTACAACCGTCTTAATTTTTTGTTCGGCCGGGGGAAAATTGCGGAAAATGCTGACGGGTTTATTCAGCACGTGGACCATATGAAAATCAGCATATTGATGTAATTACAAAAGTACTTAATTAATAAAAATAATGATCTTTTAATTTTATTTTGTTTAAGAATTTGATTCTTGTACAAAATGGAGTTGGGTACGTATTTTGAATATTCACTGATGAAGTTACAACTTACAATTTATTTTTATGTATTTGTTTGTGGCACATTAATGTTTTGTGGGGGGGGGCAAAGTTCTTACAATAACGATGTGTCTGCCAAGTTGACTATGAGAGAAATTTGTATAAAATAACATGAAGAAAATTTAATTCTGCAGATAAATAAACAAAATCCTAATATCTTTAATTCAGTTATAGTGAGCCCATTTTATATTTCGAGCAATTTGATCAGATTTTGTCTTTTTTGAAGGGTACCATTAATATAAAGGTATTTGTTTTTTAATTGGTTTTCTGGTCTGTAAATTAGTATAGAATTGAAATTACAATTTTCATAATTAGGGTCTGGCGGGAAATATTTTTCTAGAGTTGATTTGAAAAAAGGACAGTATAATAAAAAATGAGACATAATTGCTAAATTGTTCTAAGTTGGGCAAAAACATCTGGAGAGCATTTGCACTTTTGTCCATATAAATTGGCTAATAATCCTAATTAATTTAAAATCTAAACACCGTTTGAAATATGTTTCTGAACAGTCCAAATCACTGATGTTTCGGAAGTGAGAATCCGAATGGGAAGAAATTGCCAGCTCTCTAGGTCTACACTTAAAGATTTATTTTCAAATTTTATTTTATTTTTATTTATTTAATTTTTTGGCATTGTAGTCACACTTTGTGATTTACAGATGTTGGGATCCAATCATCTTGAGAGATTTTTTTATTCTTTGTGCCCGATTAAATAGAATATTTTTGTTTTCCACGACGGACCAGACTAATATAACAATGTTTCTGGATAGATCCAACTGGGAGGGCGAGCCCTTTACCCAGAACTTTAGCATCTGGTCAAAAATTTTAACTTTTAGGGGTAGGAAACCGGTCACTGTTCGAATATAGGCACTACAGTAGAATTTTGGCAAATGTTGTAAGGCTTTTAGGAATCTTAGCATTACTTTTTCAACTTCATCTGCATAGCAGGGAGCCCCGATCTCTCGCAACAGAACTGAACGATTGTTTTGAACTTTTAATGTCATATTTTTCAGATTTATAGAAAACGAGTATATTTAAAACTCATACATAAACATAAAGGGATTATAACATTACTCTTCTTGACAAATTATTCCGCTGTTTTTCTGAATTTTCCAGAGGATAACAAGGAACTCCCAAGTAAATAAAATTATTTAAAACGTGTGGTGATTAGTGACCGTTAATCGATAATTATTCATAAATCGTGAGATGCGGTCTGGTGTGATGTAGGTTTCAGAAAAACGTTTTCTTTATCGTGCCAACGTTTCGATCTTTATTGAGATCATCTTCATTATTTAAAACTGCCACGGTCGGTCTTTTCTTTGATATTTTAGCGTAACTGAACTCGACTTCTGATATGGTACAATGGTTGGTTTTTGGGTATTCACAACTATTCGAATCACAGTATTTTTGTAGCAGATGCAATTTGAATTAGGCATCCTTCCATGAATAGGCAGTTATGGCTACATCATCTACATCATTAAGAGGTCTCAAAGCAATTAATTAATTCATTTGTCTATAAGAATTTCTCTAGTGTTACAATTTGTTGATAAATGTGTAAATATAAAAATAAATAAATAAACTTGTGAAAATAATAAATAAATTTAATAAATATATTTTTTTATAAGCCATTATTTCTTGATGACCTTATTTACTTATTCTTTTGGCTAAAGATAACTTTTTTTTGTCTAAGAGACCCCATCATTATCGAAAATATACCCGAAACAATTATCAATTTAAAAGAAAAAAACTAAAAATTGAAAATGATATGATTGTTTTTTAAATAACTTTTAGGTAATAACTAACATATATGATAACTGAACCCGAAACGTCCATTATAAAAATAACAACAACAAAATACCTCAAAACAGAGTTGGCCTTTAACCCAAACAATAAATAAATAAAACTTTATAGAGGTTATAATATAATAAACAATCAGGAACTACTTGCTGGTAAATTGATGTAAAATCATGGAATTTTCTATTTGTAAATAATACTTAACGCAAATGAATGATTTCATCGGTATTTTACCCGATTATTCTATAATATAAATATAGAGAGAAAAATTTTCCAAGGTACTTCGTTAGAAATAAAGACAATCTCGCACTTAAGGTCGCATAACAGTTCTTTTCTCTTTATTTTATTTGTGCCTTTATTTTATACGTGCTGGCCGTTTTTATCAAAAAATTTATTTACAAACGGAAAAAATGGCAGAAAGTATCTGTGGCTGAATAAAAATCCAATTGAAAACAGACTTCCTTGTTGTCCAATCAAATTGAACTATTGTAAATAACGATATAAATATGTAAAAACAGCTTTTGTACAGAGGTTGGCTTTATTTATTTAATAAACTTTTTCCAAGACGAATTAACGAAGTTTAACTGTCTAGATTTTATTTACTTAGTTAACATCGTTTTACAGTAGTTAACAGCCTTCAGCAACTTCCAGAACCATCTCTCCTGTTAGGAAGAATGCTTCATGAATTGGACGAAAGGTATCAGACATTCTGTTTTTAAATTCTTTGAAAAGTAAAATACACGTTAAAATAAAGTAATTTCTGTCATACAGGAGGGTTTTACGTTCAACTCATTGAGTGTCGCAGTCGAGTGGTCAAAACTACTTTAAAATACTTTTTTTTTAAATTATTTTCAATAAAAAATCTGTGAACTATCCCGTAATACGAACTTGGAACCTCTAGCGTGGCATATAGCACCGGGGAAGGTGAAGGGATGATTTCATTATAGGATCAACAAAAACTTTGGTCGATGGCTAAAATTCTGTCGAGGAAGAACAATGAAAACTTTACGAAGGGGATTTGAGATTTTAGCTACAACTCTGAGGCTGTTGGCACTTGTACAAAATATGGAACAAGAAATAAATTCCAGAGAACTGTTTTCAGAAAGCGGAAAATAATGATGCTAAATACAACTAGGCTTCTCAGGTTTGTCTCTAAGAGCAACCGGTAGCCCAAAGAGAAACGGGTGTGCGGGGCCTAGTAAATTTGTTGGATTTAAGGAAGCAGCTAGACACTTCGTCGCAACTACTTGAGACGTTTCAGCTTATATAGTCTGAGTAAGACCTCAGCTGTTCCTGATGCCTCCTTTTGTTATGAGTCGTTTGTAAGCAGTTATAAGCACTGCAGATGTATGTAGTATTTGTAATTTGAACATAAGGTGAAACTCTCTTGCCTATTCTATTGCAATCCTATAAGGGAAGCCTTTCTAAAGTAATAATAAGGGTTTCTCCAGAACAAGGTACTAACAAGATTTAATGTTTTTTACAGTGAAAAATAATCAATCACTTACCTTGGGCACATTCGTCGATGTCTTCAGAGCAGTCGACGCCTTTGTAGCCGTAGGTGCAGGAACAAGTATACGAACCGTTGATGGGACTAGTATCGCAATTAGCACCGGCTTGGCAAGGACTAGAGGTGCAAGCGTCATCCAAATGGCAAAGTAGACCTAAAAAATCAACAATTATTTTTTGTGTAATCCTGAGAAAAAGCATGGTATAATATGTAAATAATGAAACGGTCTCGGTATAGACAAAGGTGAGGACGGATCATCACGACTGCCTCATCGCACGGCCAAATCAAAATTCCACGAAAGGCCCGCGGCCAGATCCGTATCGGTTATGATGACGTTGATCATCTCGATGCACGGCGGACCCAAGACAATGTAGAACCGCCTTTCCCACCTTTAACCTTTGTGCCGCGGCGTAACTCAGTAGGAGGCGGACTTTCTCCGCTCCCACTGTGTCCACTGGACAACATTCTGGAAGGGACTTTTTTTTTCGAAGTTCACAAGCTTGGGATTTTTTCGCAGGGACGGCTTTTTGCCTCTTTGCCGACGGAAGATCAAAGAGGACCAATGTATAACTGCGTGTCGCAATAATAGTCGTTTGCTTTTTTGTTTTCTTTCTAATTATTTCCAGTAGTAAAAATATACAAAAAAAGGAGGATCGAATGAACAAAGAGACAACTTCATTTATAATATAGCTGAATTTATAGGGTTAACCAACCTGAACGCGTCCCAAAAATTTTTCTTGGTAAATGTACAATTTTGTTTTAAACATTGTGAAATATTTTCGGAAAACTGAAGTTCAGAATATTCCTTAATGCATATATGTTTAGCATGTCATAATTGACCTATTTAATTAGTTCAATTAATTATACTTTCATCTCATCCAAAACTTTAGATAAAAAGTATAATTAATTGAAATATACCTTAATTTTAAAAAAATCTAGGATGATGTAACATGGGTTATTGACCAAACGGATATTTTTCTTTGTAAAAAATGGGAATGACTTTCGAACTACATAATAACATACACTTTTCACTTTAAAAAAAGTATTGACAGCAATTGGGTATGCGTATTCAAAATTACTTGTTTATCATGTATTTGTATCCAGTACATTGATATACATATTGCAACTGTTCTGTATACTGAAAACCCCGATCACAACACAAACACTATGGCTATAAATACAAAGGACACGTGTTATCCGAAGCAAGCCAACACAACACTTAATTTGTTATCGTAAAAAAGGCGAGGTCTCAGAGGTGGCAGTGGAGAGCCTTGATCAGTAGGGTTAAAGTATTGCAGTGAAACTTGAAGAAGCAAACACGGATAGAATAAGGAGCTACGAGAATTATTCTTGATACTTTTTATCGGAATGCTTAGATTAGTTTTATAATATAATATGGCTCGGTGGTATCCCACAACTCCACTCCGTTTGTCCAATGTAGGTCGAAGTAATGACAAACAAAGTGTTTGTTCTTTAGAGTCATGTCTGATTTCGTTCTTTAAAGTCTTCGTAGTTGCCAAGTCGTCCGTTTAGTTCTTGTCGCTCGAGTCTTAAGTTGGGGATACCACGTCAGTCTAGGTATCTGACTTGAATGGAAGGCGATAGCTCCATGTTGTTGATGTCCAGTGGAGAGAAAGACGGTTTTTTCGATGTACACTGTACATTTTTCTTCGTTCAGCGTTGTCCTCCACTTTTCGAACTACCCTTTGATAAACTCAAGCTGCTCCTGGATGTTACTTGGATAGGCCTGGGATTCCAAGTCAGTCTACTAAATACAGTCCTAAGTATTTAACCAGGGCTGTTTTAAGTAAACGTAATTGGAGTGCATATGACATGGTTAAGTTTACTTCGATGAGCTCAAGATGCTCCTGGCTATTGGAGTATAGTAGTACAATGCTGTACCGTTGAAAATAGTATTTAATGGGTACCAAGAATGTCTCCTTGTGGACGCCTCCTTGGATCGGTCTGGAGAACGCAACCCTGCACTTTACTTCGAAGGAACGATCTGCTATATAGGGTTTGAGGGTTAGACAATAAAGAGTTGGTACTGACTGCTTTACTTTGAAGAGAACTCCCGGGTTGTAAAAAGCTTGGGACATGACGAGGAACACCTGAACCCTTGCAGAATCGTGGAATGAAGCATTAGTATTATTCGGTTTGGAATTTCGATATCTCTCGCAATATAATTCGTACCGTTTTCCCAAATGGTCGATTTCCAATTTGAGAAAAATTGTACTAGATCAAAAGCACTCTCCAATGGTACAAACTTTATGGGAATTTGGATTTAAAACGTTTACGTTACATTTATGAACCCGACAAATCTTCAAAATTTTTAATTTTATATTAAAACTCAAAGATTTTTCAACAAAATATTATGTACTTGCAAAATTCCCTATATTTACAAAGAATATGTCCTAGGGCACGTTCAAGCACACCCTCTATATATATTTATTTCTTAAAAGTTATACTATATAACATTGAACATACATAAAAAAATGCTAGCGTGAGAACATAGAGAAGATAAACATTTGTCTCGTGTTTATAGGACAACCATGATTTAATGGAAAACTGACGGGCATCCTAGAAGACTAAACAAAATGACTTATCATATTCTAGATTTAAGCGATTGGGCTTTGTTTATTAAAGCTAAGGGCTTCAGAAATATAATCAATATAGAGAAAACCCCTAATATAAATGTAGATTTTTTTTGCGTAAGGTCATCGTTTATAGCCTTACTGACAAATGAACTTAATTGAATTTTCAAATTCGGTTGAAATAATCACCCCCCTGGAGAATTGGGCAACGTAATTGGCTTCCAATCGGATAAGAAACCTTTTGAGGAAATCGAAAGGCTCACCGCACACGTGCACGATGACAATTATGAGATGTCCCGTCGTCGTGTCGTCTGGAGAAAGCCGGGCTAATAACCGCGGACGCACTTAATTAATTCCCTACTTCAAGTCTTAAAATTTCGTAATCCGTGGGAGATGAATTGTAATAAAAGATCGCTGAGGGGTATCACGGTTCCCTGATATTAATCTGTACTCCGGCTTAATGGTTCAAAAGAGTTCTCGGTTCGGTTTTAGCCAGGGGCGCGCACGATACTCCGAGTCGATTCCGAAGCACGATATTTCTCCGACTTTCCCTTTATTCACAATACCGAACAGCAATAACAACACATGTTGGGAAATCGCGCTGATATAAACAACAAAAATAAGAATTCCAGAATGTGGCTGAATTTCCTTTCCAAGCGTACAAGCACGGTGTTAGATAAGTTTCCAGAAAATCGTGCATTCATATCAATCATGCAAACTTACAACAAAACTAACATTCGACCAGGAGGTCAGGGGTTAAACGATCGATTTTTTTCCCTCTCGGCTGGTATGAAATTACATAAGGAACTGAGGTTAAGTGACCGTCACTACCTCCCTTTCACACTCCTACAGGCATATTGCCTGTCACTTCGAATTTAAATTACAATTCAATGCCATGCCTCAAAACATATTTAGTAAGGCTTTGGTTAACACCATAAGTACGCCATAATGGGCTAGATCGTCTTTTTTTAATTTATTTATTTATGCAGGAAGCTTCATGTCAAGATTATCGTTTTCGGGTACCGAATACGTGATAGGATGGATCGACAACGCTGTCGCCTGCGCATTTTAATGCCAATATGATAAACACACGATCGATCGCCCTTTAAGAAATTAAATCAGCACTTACCACCTAGCGAGGAGCTGATCTTATCATATATCAGTCCTCACAGACACGTATTGACTCTATTCTCATCTGCTGACAGCTCAGAAAAACCGAAGAACGCTGCTACATCTTCACAATTTAATTCTTTTAAAAATTTATCAACTCCAAATCAATCGAAAATAGATTCAAACCAAAGCTTTCAAAGAGGATTGAATGGCGTTGTGTATGGGTTAATAAAACATATCTAGGACGGTATAAGGTATGTGGCAGGGAGTGTTCGGCTCTGGAACTATTCCGAAGTACCAGTATCTTCCAAGCTGAAGTCCACACAGTTGAGAGATCTACTCAGTTCGACTGAAGAAACAGTACAAAAACAATAGAATAGCTATCATGTCAGATAGTCAGACAGCGATCAGAGCATTAAGCCCAAACATTATTGCTTAAAGGTGATACTGAATTGAAAAACTAAATGAATAAGAACCTACTAAAGTGTTTTGGAATGAAAGAAACAACACAATGCATCAGAGAAAACAGGAAAGGCTTCGAATCCTAACTGGATTCATTAATGGACATCTTTTAAGTATATCAGCTTGATCATCTCCCATTGTATGGCTAGTTCTGCCTGAAGAGATTCCCGAGAAGCACATGGGAGGAAGAACACACAGGCCAACCACTGGAGTTTACGGAATTACCGGCAGTCAAAACCAAAAAGATGATAGGAGACGTTGTCGGTTCGCATACCTCACCACAATATTCACCGTACGTACTTGTACAATGTAAATAGAATTCTAAGAATACAAAACTTCCAATTATACAACTTCAAATTTACCTGTTTTTCCGGGTGTACACTGGCAGTAGAAGCTACCGACTCTGTCGATGCAGGTGGCACCGTTGAAGCAAGCAGCTCCCTGACAATCGTCGATGTTCTTCGAGCAGTCTTTTCCAGTCCAGCCGTTAACGCAGATGCAGGAGTAGCCGCCGATGGTGTTGGTGCACGTTGCACCGTTTTGACAGACGCTAGGCCGCAGAGAGCACTCGTCGATGTCCTGCTCGCACAGATCGCCGGTGTACGTCGGCGGGCATTGGCATCTGTACCTGTTCACGTCGTCAACACAGACACCACCATTCTGGCACATGTGTCCTGGACAGTCGTCGACGTTTTCCTCGCAGTTCTTCCCAACGAAACCTGTAAAAATCACACAGTTTACAACTTTATTCTTAAGAAAAGATAATGAAAAAGAAACAGCCAGGTGGAAATTTCAAGTAGCATCGTATCAATATTAACATTTAAAATGAACTTTTTAAATAAATTTTAACCTAAACGATCTGATAAGAAATACCTCATTATGTTGTGAACCTTAATTGAGATATACGTAAGATGTTTTAAATGTCGGCAAGAATGTGACAATCCGAAGCTCTATGTACGCGGCCCGCGGTTGAATTTATGCCCCAGAAGATACACGAGATAAAAGCAGTACAAGGAAATACATCTCGGTTTACCTAGTAAGGCGCTCACGGGCAGATGGTCACGAATGATACCACATCCCAATTAACCGGGAGCATAAATTAGGATTTGCTCGAAATCTCCATGGACTAAATCACAATGCGACTCGATAGAAAGCGTGGATCGACCCCCCTTCGGCACTTATTGTACGACGGATTAGCATTTCTTTAGTGCTTTGTTGTCGGGGCTCTTCTCAAATTCTATGGACGATTTCTATCATACAGGATTCTAAAGGACTATACGGATATAAATACACGGCTGCATGAATACCGACCATCAGTCTCTAGAAGGTTATTACTACCTTTCTCTCTTCAGGACTTTGACTATCGCCATTTAAACAGCCGCGGTATAATTAGGTGTAATTAAATGAGTCTTGGAATAATTTCAAGGCTATCCTTAACCAATTTGTATAAGCAGTAAATATAAAAAATAATTTTGTTTATGGATTATCGTTAATAAATATCGTTAATTGATTCAGACGGTACATATGGAAGTAAAACCTAAAGAATCAATATAAAATTATTTTTAATTATAATAGTCTCCTATGTTTGCGGTTTTAGTACTTAGTTTAGTACTGCTTAGTATGTATAATTAAACTTTTAAACAAAAATATAAAGAAATTGCCACATTTTCTATTAAAAGGAGAAACTATGAAATGATGAAAGGTTGATATTTTATTGTGGGGTTAAGCCAAAAAATTGCTACAAAATTCATTTTCTTTCTTAAACTTAAACTTCTTGTTATGTATAGGTTTAGGTGCATTCCACTCACGGGCACGGAGAAAAAAGTAGTATCTGTAAATGAGGAACAAAGAAACAAGAGTTGACAGGGACTTTTCTCCCATTCATTTGCATTTCCCGTTTTGGTTTCAAGCCCCCTTTTTCGAGTGCTCGCCAGAGCAAAGGGGCCGACCAGTTTAATGTAAATCTATGTAAAGGGTTTTACCGGGATCGTTGTACCCTCTTAAGCCGTCGGCACTTAACAATTTGGCACCTTCCCTGGATCCCACACTGTTTTAAAAGCCGAGGACAATTTACGAGTTACAAGAGGAAGAAATGAAGAAAGCGAACGAATTTCAATCGCCTTTGATAATTGTTTTGACAAGGGATTACTTCGACGTAACAATACCTAACATCCGACAATAAAAAAAAGATCCCACAATTTTCCCTTTTGCACTTTTGCCATTGCGCTACGCCATTGTTACATCATGGGCGAGGAATGCTGCCAGGGTGATAATGATTTTCGGAAAGAAAAGAGTTTTATATGAAGATAATTGAGGAAAAGAGAACGTCATTTGATTCAAGCGAGGTGCCGAGTGGGACGCGGATACCAGATACGCGGTGGTTGCGCGATAGTCGACTGTGGGAACACTGACTATCGCTAACCTACCACTTCCTCCGTCGACGACTGCAGACGATTTGTTGTTTTAGGCACAAATTTGGGGAAAGAGGGCCCCAGTTCACACGAGATAGCCGGACCGACAAATCCATCTTCCTTTTCCGATTTTGTCCGCACCTCCGGAGATAAAGAATAGACGATAATGAACAGTGCAATTTTTTCTAGCGTAACTGCAATAATTTGCCTTCCAATAACGATTTAAATAATGAAGATTTAGTACAGATAGTTTTCTAGTCAAGAAGAATAAATTTACAATGAAAAAATTACCTAAACATTGTCCAAACAGGTATAGCTTATAGTTGGACTTTGAAAAGTTCAACTATAAGTTATACCTGTACAGGTTTTCAAAAATAATCTCTAATGTAGTATGCAACATACATGAAATTAAATCTTTTTGTTATCATATGAAAATGTATCGAATTTTGGAGTAAATTTACCATACATATATAACATAACCGTAGATTCTTCATAAACTCCTGTTCTATCCATTTCTAATGGATTTAATTCTTCTTAATTAATTGCTGTTCTATTTTCTCTGTGACTGTGCCATTCAAACAATTTCGAGTTCAATTTGGTTTAATCAAGTCTATACAGGTACATTAACCAAGATTTGTTTATAAAATAAATATACACAATTTTATTAAAAACTATGAAAGATGCCAAAGCGGGTGTTCCGCAAGGCTACATCCCTGACCCTTCTCTATTCACAATGCACTTCAGAAATTCCTATTTCTTCACATATGCAGACAATACCCCCTTCCTTTTAGCAACCCAGACCAGGTGGGTTTAAGAAGCCTCCAGGACCTCCTGTTTGGAAGAATGTTCAAGAAATCATCAGACGCAACGCAAATCCAAGCAATAACCTTAACCCTATACAGTGACACCTATTATCCAATCAGCTACAACTCTCTTCCTCTCTCTATAATCAATTACATCGATAGACTTATTTGGAACTCGCACACATGATTCGAAAGAATAAAACTGAACTCAAAAGTCTACTTGACAACATATCGAAACTCTCACAAGAAAACAAAACTACACAACATCATTCCAACAAATGTACGTAAATGAATTGTGGGGTTCAACCAAACGTTCCAAACTCGAGAGAATCCAGTCGCTCAGGACCAATATCTTTAGAGCCATTGCCCAAGTTTCCTACTCCGTGTCCAACTTTACTATCCACACAGACCTCCAAATACCGTTTGTGTTCCTAACCGCAAGAAGTCCATACAGACGCGTCCATAAAACCCTCGACCCTGATCCCAACCCCGTAGAGTCCATCACCTTTCCCAAACCCTTTCCGACGAATGGCCTCGCGGTCTCCTCCCTAGTGACAAACATAATTTTACAATATATGACTCATAATTACAACAAAGTTTCTCGTAGCGCAGTTCTAAAGTTTTTGTAACATAATAATAAAAATTAATTGGTTGAAACTTAAATTAACTTTCTATTTAAGTACTTTTATGTTAAACAACACCAAAGAACTTTAAACTGGCAGTTATCTATATTAGCAAAACTGTTCTTTTTTACCATTATGTGTTCAAAAATAAACACTCAACTATACATCAAGCAATGAGGAAACATAAAGTGCTACACATTGTAATTGGCCTTGAAAAAAAGAGCACATAGATTATCAATAGGTCTTAGATAAAGTTTGTTATCATATAATATAAAATGAATAAATCTGGATTCCCAACGTATATATTTGACAAAATATGTTCCTATTTAATTGGCAAAACATTTAAAGTAAAAATAGATAACTACTATTATACACTAAGAACCAAAAGTAATGGAACTCCTCAAGGATCTGTCCTCTCCCCAATATTATTCGACGTCTAACTCCATGATATCGCTTCCAGCATTCCACTGTCAATAGGTTCGCTGATGGTACACAAAAATCCCTTCAAGAGAGTCTGCAACTATTACATTTACTTCGAAATCTCTGACATATGCAATACTAAATATTCAGTCGTAAGAAGACCTAGTGAACCATCCAAACTAGAAGCAAAAAATATTCGGCTGTCATGGGATCAAAAAGACGTAAAAGTATCTGGGCACATATGTAGACAGTCACTTGACACAAAACGAAAAATTAACGAAAGAACATAAAAACTAAGTTCTATCTTATTAGTAACAGCAAGTCACAATTAGTCAAAACTCGTAATAGCCAACAACACAGAGACTTAGAAGTACCAACTCTCCAGGAATTCATCCAAAAAAATTTCAAAACTACCTCAAGTAACTGCACCTCTTAAATTCCAAATTGGACAACCTTCTCAACACTTTCGTTTAAAACCCCGTCTTATTACAGATTTAATTAAAATTCACTCCTAATATTTGAAAGATATAAACTGTGTTATTATAAGTTTATTTGAGTTTAATGAAACCCTACTTCTATGTACAAAATTAAGAAATACAACTTAGTAATACAATCCAGTAATAAAAATATATTAAAAACCCTGACAGTTAAGTTGAATGTCCAGTCTTTCAATATTAAAATTTAATTTAAGCTTTATTATTTATTTTGAAACTTTAACTTATTAGATTTAAGTCCTCAAATAATAATTAACTAAGCTAATTTCATTATTTTTCAAAGAAGTTTTTCAGAACTTTCAAAAATTTATTGAGGCGACTTGTTTTAACCGTAGATTTCGTTTGTATACTTGTTTAACAAAAATATGTACTTTGAAGGTATAATTAAACTGTATAGTCATAAAGGGAAAAATGGGCTTCTCGTTCAAACAAACTGATCGTATGTCATAAAGTCTTAAACGTCGAACTAGGTCCTTATAAACTTTATAAATTTCCATTTAGATTAGTCATCTAAGAGCATCATCTTCCATGTTAAGAGTTAAAAGGATATCATTCTGACCTCACAGAATCAAAAACAATGAGCCCAACGTCGAGTGTTTATTGAACGAGTGTAACAACCTCCGAAGGCTCAGAGGGGATAATATGGCCCAGAGATAATATTTAATTTGCCATCGAGCCTCCGCCATGAATCACAAACAGGCCGGAGGATTGTGTAACCGATGAGGAATCCGTAGTGTTGCTTTATGTGTACAGAGTATAATGCCTGGACGAGAATGATTTGTGTAACTAATCAGTGTTCTGCTGGCTCACCTCGGACAACACTCCGCCCCTCGGGGTCATTGCCGGTGAGTGTCAACAGGGAACACACTCCCACGACACTTTACGAGACAAGTGACTAGGAGGGGAAAAATTATAAGAAACCACAACATCAAAACCTCAAGACTGCATTGTACAGTGTTTACATTCCTGTTGTAGCCTTTTTGAAAGGTGGTCGGAAATAAAAACCTGTTCCTTAAAATAAACAATTCATGCATTGACAGCAAATCTCAGAACAGGTACAAAGACCAAATCGGTCCAACCAGCTTCTATTTATGGGGACAGAAGGATTGTAGATCGAAAAAATCCGAGATCAATCAACAATGGGTGGCAAGTATTAATCTTAGTTACAATTTATTTATAAAAAACATTACTTGTAATAAATCAGCCTATTAATCAACAACGCCCTCAAAGGCTACACAATAAACTCAGAACAATATTTAAAACCATTCGTTAAAATGGTCAACGACTACCAAACAATGGTCACGGCGGTTGAATATATCAAGGAAAAACAACAATTTGAGAAAGGACAAACGGTTGTGAACTCACGTTACCAAAAATAATTTAATGTAAAAAAAATACCAATTTGCTTTCTATTTAAGTGTGTGGTGTTTAGTGACCGTTAGTTAATGATTATTCGGAGATGGTGAAATGCGGTCTGGTGTGACGAAGTTTTAGAAAAGCATTTTCTTTATCGTGCCAACGTTTCGATCTATATTGAGATCATCTTCAGGGCCTGGGATTTACAAACATTGTTTACATTTAACAAATACATGTAGGACGTGGAAAAAGAAGATTGCCCTTAAGATGATCTCAATAAAGATCGAAACGTTGGCACGATCATCTCACGATCGAATCATATTATATTTGAGCAATCTTTGAAGTTTTTTCGGTACTTTATTGTCAAAACTATTTGGTCTCTTATAACCAATCTTTTTTGTCTATATTTTCGTGGTATTACATACTACACATTCGTAGTAAATATATATTTTTTTAAATAGTGAATCTTTTTATAAGCCAAAATTTATTTGTCCGCTGCTGAAATTTTTACAACTTTTACATTCTACGAATGTTTGACGCTAAGTGCCGCTAAATTGGAAGTTCCGTCAAGTCAACAGCAGAACACTTCATTCGCTGCTTTCAAAAAAATATTTAACTACACAACTCGGAATCTCATGAGACCTCTTTCATTAGGTTCAAAATAAGATTGTAGTTTAATAATTGAATTAATTATAGATAAACGGTATCTATACGCGCTAGTGAACGCTAATGAACGAGTATAACGTTCTTAATAATTTATTATGTAAATTATTCGTGTCGCGTTTATGATCTATATCTGATATTCTTCCACCTAAAAAAAACTATCTACTGTATAAAATCTTTCAGTCCAAATGTCACGCCGGTAGTGGAATTCGCTGTGAATTGGATTTAAATTGATTAAACAACGCAATAGGACAAGGAGGTAATGAGGGATTGTTGGGCACAGTGTAGGATTGGCCGTGGGCAGATTGGATGTAAATTGTCCTATTAGGCTACCAGGACAAAGGGAGAGGACGGATCTGGGAAGGACGAACGGCATAATTATTTGCCGTAGGTTAAGGCCGGATAACCATCACGAAACTGCCATTTCAATATTGAAATAACAATCGTAGAACATCTAGATTGATTTTTTTTGGAAGATTTACGATGGAATTTTTGACTGTAAACCGTACCTAAGAAGACAACAAAATCGAGCGAAAAGTTGAACATACTTTGTTTGTAAAAGCAATTTTTTCAGGTTTAGATTTGGCCGAGGCAAGCTATTTAGTACCGAACGAGAGAAAAAAATAAGAGAGAAAGAGATGAGAGAGTGATTGAGTTCGTGAGTGAGTGAGTTAGGTTGAGAGTAAGTGTGAATGAGTGAGTGTGAGAGATCATGGCATAAAATATCTTTTTTTAAAAATAACGGATGATCTTTTTGCAAAGTGCCCAATAAGCAAAAGTTTGTGAACTTAATGTTCATACAAAAGGTAGAGAGTAAAATTTTGAAGGCGAGAAGAAGCGAACCTCATAGAATCTACTCAAATAGCGGACAACAAATCGGATTAGCTTGTAAATTTGTCTGTTTTATATAGAGAGATATATGAAAGTTAGTATAAAAAAACAAAAGCGATAAGTGTGATGATTAGTGACCGTTAGTCGATGATTATTCGGAGATCGCGAGATACGGCCTGGTGTGACGTAGGTGTTAGAAAAACATTTACTTTATAGTGCCAACGTTTCGATCTTTATTGAGAACATCTTCAGGCCTGGGATTTACAAACATTGTTCAAATTTAACAAATAAATGTAGGACGTGAAAAAAGAAGATGGCCCTGAAGATGATCTCAATAAAGATCGAAACGTTGGCACGATCATCTCACGATTTCCGAATAGTCATTAATAAGCGATAAGGTTAAATTTTAAATTAGAGACCATTCATTCTTGAGATGTGTCAACAATGGTCGTTTTTATTTCTAAAGATGTTTGCACGACTTAGAATAAGAAGTGTCGTTTTGGAATGAAATGTAGCTGATGATATTTTTTAAATGGTGCAAGTTAGGCGTTATTTTATAAATTTCTACGGCCGTAAAATCGACTTTTTACCGGCGCTTTGCCCATTTTCTGTTAGAGAACGAATTTAATATCAGATGTCAAAAGCCCGCGTAATTTCTATGCAAATGCCGGTTTCGCGCTCAGTTTAAAAGACCGTTGAAAGGCAAAGGGACAAATAATTGTAAACAATTGTGTGATAGACGGATAGATGCTGGGATCTTGATTTCCACCGGACTTGGCATAGGCACCACCTCGAGAACTTACCTGTAGGGCACTTGCACTCGTACTTTAACGAATCCACCTGTTTGCAGATCCCGTCGTTCTTGCAAGGCGATGGGTCGCAAGGGAAGTACTCGCTCTCGCAGTTGTGCCCTGTGTAGCCGGGCTCGCAGATACATCTGAAAAACATTAAATAAATTATAGTTGCATGGCAAATTATGGTCATCCCAGTAGAAAAGTCAGATATTGAATGCATTGCAAATCCCCGCTAAATTGAATAATATAAGTCATTTCATACATTACACTAACATGCGTTCTCGCAGTTGAAACAAATTTTTTATCAAGAAACAAGAAATCAATTCTAAAAAGTAAGATGAATTACAGTGTGTGAGTTTACTACCCGTCGAATAAGCTAGTGCAGATGATTACATCAAATTTTCCACTCGCTCAGTAGCCAACTAGCTAGCGAGTTTAAACCACTTGTTGCGAATACGCTGTTGTTTTGTTCTTTCACTTGCTGAACTTTTCTGGGTGTTCTAGCGTTAAAAAAGGAAATGCAACCCCTTCAGAACACTTCTCGCTGCACCATATTTCTGACGTCTTTCTATACCCGGTTTTACCCACACTGTTCTATGCCTCAATTGCTGATTTTCGTTTCTTTTAACTCCTTTTTGATAGCATGAACTAAATTAACGACTCCTGCGCGAACTAGTTCCGTGGACATTTTATATTCGGATACTCGCAGCTAGTTCACTAGCAACTATGATGGGACACATAGCTAGTTTACTAAATAACAAACCCAAACACCAGCGATTCCGGCTTCCAACTTTTCGTAGATTGTTTACAACCCGCTAGCAAGGTAGTGAACATGGTTACACTGGGCAAGTTTACTAGCAGTTAATGAATTCGCCGGTTAATAGCTAGTCAACTTGCTCAATGTAATCGAGCCTGAAGTGTAAAGAAAAGATGGCAACGTCAATGGACTGGATCGTCCGAGAAGCTTTTGCACGTGAAGAACACGGTAAATAGGTGACTCTCACAGAATCTAAAGAATCATCCCATCCCGCCTCAGAAATGGCCACATACGGTTGACCACGGGCACGTAGTTTTGAGCCAAAGCCCCAGCATGAGTTCGGCATGTACAGAGAGGTTAATTACTACTTAATTTAAGGGTGTTAATCCTTGGGTCTGTATAAAGAATTAGCAGGAATGTCACAAGTTATAAATACGGTAGCAAATCTTAGTGTCCCCTAATCAGATTTTTGGTATAAACTGGGGTATGCAGGTAATCATATTATTGTATATATAACAAGTTGGTGATAGATATATTCTGCGTTAACTGTTTCGTGAGAATGTAACTAACCCTAACTGAGTGAATAGTATGTAAATAAGAAAGAATATATTTAATATTGGGGCGAGTTTTTAGGTTAAATCTGCTTTTGTTGGGTCCTGAAATGATCTTGTTGTCCATAGCACTCAGATCCTAACTTATGCGGTGATATGGACAAAACCGATGTCTGGTCCCAAACCACCAAAATTCTGGATCGGGTCTTTCTCGGGCAGCTACGAGAAGTCGGCTCAGTTCTGCAGATTTGTGTGCACAATTAAAATTCACTATGTTTTAAACCTTAAGTTTCAGTGCTCTAAGTAGATGTCCATATTAGTTAACCTCGTGAATTATTAATAATTAAAGGCTTAGTGGAGGACAACTAATGGAACGTGTGGGCACAAGGGAATTTGATTTATAAAATTTACATAATCTACTATAATCAATTTTACATCAGACAGTAATGATCAAGGAGCATATTGTAATTTTTATTTAAATTACAACAGGTTTTAAGAACAAGCACAAAAACCATCTTTCAAGATTTTTCACATGGAAAGTATGTAACTCATAGGTTTTTAAATACGTTTTGTTCAATAATTTGTACCACTTTTGTTATTTAGAAACTGAAGATGGTTTATTAGATCGAAACGCGTCTGACATAATAAACGCCTACTGTAGAAAAGACAATTTATTTCGTACCAATCAACTTCTTTTCATTTGTTGTTTCTGGTTAAAAATATTTTTTTTTTTTTAAATTAAGCGCTAAAAATTTGTTGGCCGAGTAATAAGTATTTTACATATATCACGATCGGCTCCACTTGTTAAACCATTCTGCTAGTTTGTTTGTGAGCTGTTTTTTGGTATTTCGCTTTTATGAGAGGTTTTTCTGTGTCTGTTCAAGTTTATGTCCTTTTTATAAGTTGTAATGGTTGACCAAGGCAGGCTAGCCATGGTCTGTAATTTGGTCGTTACTGATCATTTTTGTCTACCTATCTTCGTTGGGTTGGTCAGTCCGACGCTTTTTTTTTTTTTTTTGCCATTTTCAGCGTCTGTGTGATTTCTGTGAAATCAAGTATCTTCTTACACTTCACAAAAATCATGAACGCGTCAGTCAGTCCCTCGAGGATGATAGGCAGGCCAAAAAGATCGTTGACGATTTCAGGTGTGTCACCCCGCAGACAACACGTAAACATTTGACAATTTAAATAGTGACCTTTTTTTACCTAGAATCAAAACGGGAAGCGAATGAATTTTATAGGTGTTTTATACATTCACTTTCTCATTAACTTTTGAGAGAGTATGGTACTAAAGAGGCTCAGTACCTCAAGGGTCAAGAGTTCAACGGTGTATTTTTCCATCAAAAATTACGCCTAATGCCGAATGATAAATATGTGCGATTAATCGTTTCGGCTATCTCGGCAGATAGAAAACTGAAATGAATGTTATCCCCCTGTTATCTGGCATCGTCTGAGAGAAAGGGAATTATCCTGGGTATTCCGCTAATGAACCGACCTCGTCCTCTTCCAGGGACCCATGCGAACCATCTACCATGATTTGTTGTTTTCCCGTTGCGCGACGTCAACACACCTTTCCTCACATATTCGTGCCCTGTTGTATTGGGACGTGTAAAAATCGGGCTTTTAGGGCTGATTACGGGTTCGTCTCCCATGGGACGTGCGTTTGAAGTGTGGGCAAATCGCCGGACTGGCATACGTGAGAAAGACAATATTCACGGCGTGATTTACCAAAAGACCCGAGGGCATCATCTTCTCTTCTCTTCCATCCCCGAACCGTCTATTACATAAATGGCCGCTTCAACCACTTTTCCACAGTGAATTACGATTCGACCTCTCAAAGGCGAACTGGACTCGTTTATAATGGGTAATTCAGGTGGCTTTATGAGGTCTCTACTCTCGGTAATGACTCCCTATGGGCTCGCAAACAAAACAAAACATGAAGTAACGAGATACGGATTATACTAGAGACTCCCTCCTGACAATTAGATAAAACTTACTCGGTTTCGACATCAAGAATCCATTTCCTCATTTTTTTGCCCCTTTTCTTTCGCAGAGCAACAGATCACGAGCAATCCTCTCAAAACGAACAACGCATGAAGCAACATGGCAAAATATTTAGCTGTTCGACTAACTGTTCTTTTGTTAATATCAAGACACGAAAATAAACCAATACAACGTTAAATACTGAAATTTTGGGTTGGTCTTAAATAAAAAGAAAACGTAATCATCAAAAAGTCTAGCTTATATTTTCATATTTATTACGTACAAAATACACTTATTAATTGAAAAAGTGGTTCAAATAAGAGTGACTTATTTATTTGAATGAGATTAGATTTTTGTGGAAGTAAGGTGGCAATGAACTTGAAAGAAACCGAAAACAGGTTAGAATGGCAGACGGATTAATATTTCATATATGATAATACAAATATAACTATCTATCGGTAAATAATACATAAAGAGACATAAAAATAGATAGGTAGACTGAAAGAGTGTGACAGGGCAAGAAAAATGGAGAAGTTATTTAAAGAGATAAAGTAATATTTGTATTGTAGGAATTATTGATGTTCATATAGACATCTTACATTTGCAGCTATGTGTATGCAAATATTAAAACCGAAATAAATAAATAAATTGTGAGTAAAACGATAATGGCAGTGAGAGGGAGAGAAAAACAATGCCAAAATATGGGAGATAGGTAATTGGGAAAGATTAATTATTATTTATTATTAATTATAACTATTATAAATTGTAATGAAAAGCGATATCACTTAATTGACCTAATTATGCATAAATTATAGAAATATTTCAATGATTTATAGCTTTTAAATTCAATAATCAAATTGATACCCATATTTATATTTTAGTTAACAGTAAAGTCACAAAAATTTGTCGAGGGAGAATGGGAGAGACTAAAATTTGCGACAGATCCATGTTAGGTGAGCATGAACTTTAATAACTATTTCAATTAATTAATCTTTTTATCTAATGTCTTGGTTTAGATGAAAAATTTGTTGTCACGAGGGGGATTCGAACACACGACTTTCGGCTTTGGTCAATTATGACCACTAAGCATATATGGTTTAATATTAAGGTATCAAAATTAGCATATTAACTGCCGCACACAACCCTCAATGGATTTAAGAAAAAAGGGTACCGATATTTTCCTAATTTGGGTAAAATCCAAGAGCAACAATGAGTACAGTCATGAGCAAGTCGACCTCCTTACCGAAGGGGATACGAGCTCAACGCCGAAAAAGCAGCGGTCACGGTCGCCGACATAATCTCACATATAAGTAAATATGCAAGAGAAAAATGTCAAAAGGTGTACGATATGGCGAACTCATTAAAATGGAGAGTTTATTCAAGCTTTCAACCCAAACCATGGTTCAGTAACATCAATGAACCGAGGAACCTTATCACATCCATTTGCAGATTCCGACTGAGCCATAATTGTTTGCACCATTATACAATCGGCCAAAATGGCCAGTGTGAGTATGACCAGGAAACCCTTGCGGACCAGGACCATGTTCTTCTGTCCGGCCCCTACACTTCCAAAATGAGAGATTTTTTGTATTCCACTGTTATGAGAAATGGCCTGTTCTTGCCTACGAAAAGTAACGTAATTTTAATCACTATAAATAAGCCCCAAACATAGCACTTTAGTCATGTAAATGGTTTTTATCCATGTCCCTCTGATACGTCCGTTGTAAGAATGAGGTAACCCCTAAAAGTAAGCGCCTGGTATCCGCCTCGGTGGGTCGCGGGCTGTCTTTGCGTTTTGCCCTTAAAATATCTGGCAGATGTGACTTTCACAAGGCGAAAATAAATTTGTGACCGATCCATGATAAGTGTGTATGATGTAGATGTACGTTATACTCCGCCCTTTGAGAACTTTTTTTATCCCCTGTTCTGTGACTATGAATTTCAATATTAACGTATAAATAATAAAAAAGTATCTTAATTGACATAAGCATTCCTCCCACATTTATATAATATTGTATATATAAAGTTATGTACAGCTACTGAGATAAAGCGGAGACCTTTAATGGTCGAATTTATCAGAGATCTCGAAAATATTTCCCACGAGTTTCTACGCTTTGGGACAGCTCTATCATTTGAACAAAATTTAAGCAGATCTTCAATGTTTTAAACTAAAAGACGACAGCATTCTAAATAGAGGCAATGAGTTTAAAAAACAGACTGATTAACAAGTATGTTAAAGAACTTATAGTTACATTTTAATGGAATTCGTATGAAAAAGGATTAGTTAAAATGTGTGATATATCTAATTACGAATTAGAACGTTGAGAGTTAAGGAACGTGTAAACGTGTAGGTTTGTTAATTTGAAAAATAAAATAAATATTAGCTCTGCGAAAATGGCGTTATATAAAATAGTAAATCTCGCGGGTATTAAAAGATAAGGATGTGGAATAAACCTAAAGCTGACTCGTCGGGTGGAATACGGGGAATGTTCAGCCCGTTATTTACCGAGTCAGCATAAATCCCCTGATATATTTAATACTGTGGTGTCGGCCGGGAATTAATAGGCCCGAGGGGGCCGGCCGAGGTGGGCACCCTTGACATTTCGAGGTTGAGAAAAGGAATCGGAATTAATTTAGGACTGAGAGAGTAAATAATAAAGCTTACGTGTAAGAGCCGGGAGTGTTGTAGCAGCTGCCGTGTCTGCAAGGCTTCGCTCTGCATTCGTCAATGTCGTTGTCGCATGTCGTCCCTTTGAATCCTGCAGGGCATGTACAGGTAAACCCGTCCTGAAGGGAGGTGCACGTCGCCCCGTTCAAGCAAGGCACGCTAGCGCAATGGTCTTCCGACTCACAGTGGCTTCCTGAAAAACAAAATATCACATATTATTAACTCGAAGTACAAAAAAATTACAGTGTAATAACATGAAAATTGAGACGAAACATAATTCAAAAAATCATAAAGGATATAGAGATAAAAAGAAAGCTTCAATATGATTGACAGCATAACGGTCCTAGTTGTCAGCGGTTTGATCGCCCCCGAACATCTTGGTACGCCTATTACCCGGCCTATTGTACTAAAAAGAAAAAGACCGATAAAAAGGCAAAGATGGCGAAACGCGACTGACAAAACACACAGCGAGACTGATCGAACCCAAATAATTAGAACCATCAAAGTACTGATAACTGTAACACATTGCTGATGGTTAAAGAAAATAATTGTACAATAAAACATAATATGCAGGGTGTCCTTTTTAGACGGCCCGGCTGAACTTCTCTTGAACCGATGACACTATCAATAAAGCAAAAAATACTAGTTTATTATTTTTTAGACTAGTTTCAAATTTTTACCTTTTTTTTAGAAACCTCAGGCCCAGTTCAACATCGAAATGTCAAATCCGACCCTAAACATCCTGACACATCATTTTAAAGGATTTTTTACGCTGAAAACAGTATTGTAATCGGATTTTAAATTGGTCAGAAAATGACAATTATGGCAAAACGTTTAGGGGGGAAACAGTTATTTCGTTTGTTATTTATTAATCACATTTCATGTTCGAACTGCCTATCTTGCATAAAGATGCAAAGATCTGCTCTTTTAAACCACTCTTGACCGGTGCTCAGAGCGATACAGTCGGGGGAGATGTATTGACAAGCATTTTCCATCCTTTGTCGCAGTTCTTCAACTGAGGTTGCTGGGTTATGATTGGCGTAGACACTGTTTTTTAAAGGACCTCACAGAAAATAGAAACAAAGTACTTCTGAAAAATGCGAAACACGCCATTAAAAAACACAGAGACTACTAGAACCAGAATAATAAAAACAATAAAACTAATTATTGAACAACTTGCTGCGCACAGTTATATTTACGGAGTAATTTAATTTTTTTCCGAGGGTTCGCAACAGCAGAGGTCATATAAACCCTCAGGGTGCCGGTGTTTTTGAAAAAAAGCCCATTTGTAAGTATGTCGGGTTCGAATGCAGGGCCGCTGGAATGGAACCCGGGACCTTAACCTTACAGTGATGGGCGCCGTGTCAACGCTTAAACCGTTGCGGCCACCGACGCCCCACGGAAGAGTATTGTTATAATAAAATATACAACGGTAAACTGAACATACATATATCCTCTCAAAAAGGCAAAACGCATTCTGAACACAGCAAGAATTGTAGAAAGCAGGATAATCAGAACAATGAAACAGATGATTCTAAACAATGCTGTGAAATCTTTACTGGTAAAAAAATAGAATATTCATGCTATAAAATATACCAAGGCAAAATTGAACACACAAACCGATATGGCTATCATACTCTTGTAATAATTGAAGCAGAACTGAACCTAACTGACAGTCTAAACTATGATAAAACATAATTTGGAATTAATCAAACAGACAATTATCATTTCCTGTCACAAAAATGAATAAGCAAACAACCAAGGGGAAAAAAGAACCAACGCAAATAAAGAAGAACATTATCATTATTATAGAAAAAATTTACACTGGGAAATTTAAAAAAAATGGGGCTGGTGTATTTTATTTGGTAATTTAATAATTGGTACTTGTTACAGGAGAAGATCCATGTTTCCATTACAAACTTCAGTTCATGAAACGTGCTTTTGACTATGCTCATGAACAAGGACAAAAGGATGGCGATATTGGCAAAAGGCAAGAAGATTGACTCGAGTGCATTCTCAGTTGAGCCAATAATTGGATTTTAAATGTTATAAAGGTAGAGCACGTGGGACCGCGGCCAAGGCCAAGGGACGAGGGAGAAAAAAGATAAATACATAGGAGGAAGACCCCTCGTCTTAATTGCGACCAGAGATTCCTTCACCTTAATCACACAAGTGGAACTGTTCCAGAACAACTTATTTCTGAAGCGATATTTCAGTCCTGTATTAAGAAAATATTTCAAAAAGCGAGAGCAGGAAATGAAGATGAACTTAAAGGGTTGTTGATGTAGGACTTCTAAATATCTAATGACACGGCATTTGAGGGTTGATACCATTTTAATGTCCCATTGCTCATCTATGACTAACACCTGTCTCTTTGAGTCATACTCCCGCGGTGTTTTTTTTAAACCCTATTCTGTCCAAAGGGCCATTAGAAAGCGTAAACAATGGTGAATATACGAAGGTCCTTTTTGAAGTTCTTTCTACACCTTGGATACAGGATTTTTGTTCGAGAACGATTGAAGATAAATTATCATTCGGATTCTGTGATGGCATTCCGATATAATTTACATCCGATCGTATTGATTGAAAATCGGAATATATATGGTCACTTTAATTAATTCAGGCTCATTTCAAACTCTGGTCTATTATGTAGCTGTTCAATATTCATTGAATTCACTTTGAACATGCTGCTCATTTGGAACTACTTGTAAAATGGTGAACGGAACGACTCCCGACGCCTAAAAGAGTTAAGCATTATATAAGCCCTTTCATTCAAATTATACATGAAGTAATCTGCGAATTTAGAGGAACTTGAGATTCATTTTTTCCATCAGAACTTGTAATGATTCGTTAACTTCTGTGTATGTTCAGCTAGAGATCATTTTGCTATGTTTTAGTTAAATGAGCATTCGGTTATGAGTGTTTAGGTTATCTCCCTGCCATTATAACTGGTATCTTATGGAAGTTTAAATTAAAAATTAAATTTAACAGCCACGATATGTATACTCTGTGAAATGCAGTAGCTTTTGTTGTAAGCACGAAGTCACAGTTGAGTAAGACTGCGTTAAATATTAAACATTTCTGTTTGTATTACCAAAACGTTTCTTTCTTGGTTGTAGGTTTTTCAAATATTGGATGCAATATATAACTGTACACAACTGGTATGGTAATAAACTGTACTGGGGCATCGGTGGCCGCAACGGTTTAGGCGTTGACACGGCGCTCAACACTGTAAGGTAATGGTCTGGGGTTCAAATCCAGCGGCCTTGCATTCGAACCCGTCATATTAACAAATGGGCTTTTTTTTCAAAAACACCGGCACCCTGAGGTTTATATGACCTCTGCTGTTGCGAATCCTCGTTTAAAAAACATAAATAAATAAAAATAAACAGTATTTTTCTCACGCTTCCAATATGTGTGTTTGTGCATCTCAGAAGCCAAAATTTTGTTTTGTCTTAAGTGAATATGTGGTTGTGTGGAAACATGCTGGTATTACTCAAACTCTGCTCATGATACAAGTGAGTCTTAGATAGTGAAGGCTGTGTACAGGTGGTATTAGTTTGCTGGTGTTACTCAGTTATTGTGGAGAAATAGTGTTATGTGTTTGTTTAATGAAGTTTTTCCATCTTTTTTAATACAAATAGAATTTTTAATTATGAAATTACCTGTGAATCCGACTGGGCAGGTACATGTGTATCTATCGAGGCTTTGTAGTGAGCAGGTCCCGCCGTTCAGGCAGGGGCTGGAATCGCAAGAATTGGCGATCGGAATCTCGCATAACGAAGCCGAGAAACCGATTGGGCAGGAGCACCAGAAGTTAGGAGGTCCGTGGGTCGGTGACGTCCTGACGTTGCAGGTGCCACCGTTTTGGCACCTCGGACCGGGACCGGTGTGGCACGGGTTAAGGTGCTGACAATACTCCCCTACGTAGACGTTCGTGCAGCTGGAAAAGAACAAAAAGAAAACAAACGTTAGAGTTGTGTGAAAATAATGATCATCTGTCTTGTCAAATATAAAGGAAAAAGATGAGAGCAGTTGAAAGGGGCCGAGTGAACAGTGGACCGTACATCACAGTCGCAACTACTCGTTTTTTAAATAACGTTTATTTTCCTCTTTTAATTACCGGCCTAGCTTTCGTCACAGACCGCTCGCGATTAAAACAAATTTTCATGAAAATCTCCCACGGCGATCGACCGAGCATATGAAATTACACACCTGCTCCGAAAAAAAAGTTCTAATTAAATTAGTGATTCTATAATTATGGAAAGGAAGTCACCAGTTGCAAATAGTTCGTGTTGTCTTTCAAAATCGTAGCTTTGATGATTCGCCTTTATATTCACCTTGAATATCACTTTCTTTAACGTAAATATATAAAGGCTCTCTTACGTTTTAACAATACAACACCGGTATGGACTTAAGGGCTGGAAGTGTGGGGTTCAGCCAAACATACCAACATCCGCCGCACACAAACTGCCCAGTCCTTAATCCTGCGAAAAATACTATGCTCCATTTTATGTATAGAACCTAAATATACATACAGTCTTACATATCCCTTTCGCTCAAGATGAAATCCGTCCCCGTTAGCGCAAATTTCACAAAACCCTCCCAACTACTGTATATCAGCACACCAGAAACCTCGCATCCTGACGAATCCTCTCGAACCCACCTCGCCGACTGAAGAGACAATGGCCGCGAGATCTAGGAAGTGATGGTGATGATAGTGAAAGTGATAATGACATAAGTATCAATTAAACAGACAATATTTTAATATCATTGGAGTAATACCAATGGGTATTTTCTTCACTCTTGTTTTTAATTTTGTATATATCACCTTGCTCATTGTCACATGCTACCTACTAATGCAAGGTAGTTGTAATGTACTACAAATTTTTAAAAAAGTTTTAACAATATTACAAACTAAGTCCAAGTTTGCCAAAAAGTCTTCTAACCACACTGGTATGGTAATCCATCGAATAATAATCATGATTACCTTAAGCCGTATTCCCTTGGTGTGTTGACCTCACAGACTTGTCATCTGTCGTATTACCGCAAACTGTTCCCGTGGCGCGGAAGGGCTCGTGGCTTGGCGAACCTCATCTATTGCGTAAGTTTTTAAATGAAGCCAGTTTTGGTTTAAACATAAACGCTAGTACAATGTTTTATTGTGATTTTTATAGATGTTGAAAAACGAATTAGTACAGTGAATAAACCGGCAACAAATCCCGACGAATCGAGGAACGGAGGCTCGAGCCATACTGAGGCTTGCCATTCACTGGGGTCGCAATGTCATTTAACATTGAGGTTCTTTAGCGTGCGCACCTAGCTGGCTTTATCACACGTTTAGATTCTCAAGTTAGGAGCGACTCACCTCCGCGCACGGAAAATCTGCTTCTTCCGAGAGGTGAGGTGTAGAAGCCCGCAAATTGACAGACATCTTGACTTCTCCTGCTTGCCCCTTCCGAGGGGGTGGGTTAACACTGTGCACTTAACCAGTGCCGCGCGTAAAGGGATACCCAAAAAGATGTCGAAATGCATCGGCCAAGTCTCCCGCGCACTCCCTTGATATTGACGACAACTTTATCTCCCTGGGTGTAAGGGCTCCGCTAGCGTCGAAACCTCCTGATACGCTCCGGCCGCGGTTTCGATTTTAGTGGGATCTCTAACCACCCCCTAGAGGAGACAATGCGTACGGTAAAGACAGCCCAGACGACCACCATTCCTGACGCATCCGAGGGACGCCGTCATCGTAGTCATAGCTCCTCGATGGCTATACGTTCTCGGCAATCCGATCCTTCCGATTCCCGCGAGGTCGGGAGGTAATTCGGAGGTCATACGTAAGTACTAGTGAATGAAACATAGCCTCTTTTCCAGGTACCCGTTAGGGGTCTCATCACTAAGCCACTGCACATGGGCTTGAACTTGGAACGAAAATACGCTGCTCGCAGTTCAGATGGTTATTTAACCCCCGTAAAAGGCTTGTCATCCGTCGAGCCCCAAGCCTTTAATATCCGAGAATTCACCGACAATACGCGAGAAAGACCGATCACCTCGAGCAACGAGTCTTTACGTTCCCTCTGCTTGAGGTGTGACTTAGACTAGCTATACACCATGCTCGTCAAGCCACACGTCATGGGAACAAGGCATTAGGTTTAAAAAAATTGATGCGGAACTGAATAAACTGTCATGAAAGCAGCTCATTCCATTTATGTATTTTTTAATGCGTATATTCATATATTACGTTACAAATTTGTACTATTATAACTAAATTATACTACAAAATGTGGAACTTTAATTAAGAACAAACAACGATAATGTAATATTGAATGAAGTCCCTTTCCCCGAGGTATTCCGGTTTATGGGCTTGCATTAGATGGGCGGTAGGTTATTTGATTTTGCGGAAACGATATTAGTGGCTACCACCCGTTCTGGGCAATACAAGATACAGAACAATTATCATCGGTGTGAAAGGCCGCTCACGACCTTTCGGTACATAAACATTTCGCATGTACACAGTCACGGTCCGGAGACCGGAGAGCCGTTCCACTCAAAATATATGTGACTCCAGACACCATCCCACGTATAACGAAACAATTACAAGACGGCGGGGAATTAATATCCGCCGGTTACATCTGTTATGTAAATAAGGGAATCGGATAATGTTCTCTTTATAGAAACTGAGTAAATCTCTACGGGGTAATTACGTGTAATTAGCGTTATACGTGTTCCCTCGATAACGGTTCTCGCCCAATGCCCACATGGAGTGGGCGGCGGGCCATCACTATTCGGCTCACGTCTTATTAACACTGAGAAAGAGTCTTGAAAAAAAGGTTTTGTACGCGGACGTAACTCTAGATGTTATCGGATGTACCTTGTCCTCCCAACAGGGAGTACTCTCGGACAGCGAATCCAGTCTATCTCTACGTGGCGACACTATTTTTCCTTTTGTACTTCATGCCTTATCCTTCATCTCTTGTTTCTATAATTCTTCTTAATCTTTACTGCGCGTTATTTCACAGGGTTTAGTATTCCTGTGAATTTATGCATCAGAACCAAGATTGTGTTATACTAAGGCTTTTTCAATCGGCCATTTAAATATTAAAGGATATTAATCGCCTAGGAAAATGAATGACCAGCACCTCTGAACGCTGATCTATTCTGGTTTTAACTTATTTCCGTTAAAATTACAAATAATAGTTTCGTTACAACAGAGCCAGACTACCATCTTTAATCTTGCACATAGGCAGTTCACGTACAAATAGATGACCCTTGGTGCCATAACACGCCCCGCATAATTTCTTGGGTTTCATTCCACGAGGCATATTAAGCTTACTCAAAAAGCCACATTTATCCTTTGGTGACCCAACTTTTCATTCAAATCGATGATTAACCATATCTGATCAATCCATTCACTGCAGCCTCGTTACCAGGTATCATCCTGCATGGAAGGAAGACCCAGATAAATACCACACAAGAGGGGGTGGGGTTTAATGCTGCAAAGCCGACAGAGATTTAACCGATAAATCGTTTTTGGCCTAAAAAGTAATAATTGTACATTTATTAACTGCAAGCAGCTCTCGGCACTGTATATATTGGACTTGAGATAGAATCCAAGAATAAGTAAGTATTTTGACTTTCACACATAACAGCAGCTCCGAGTGCATATTTGGAACCTCCCATTCAAACATAGCTTGTTTTCTAAGTCAAAACGTTTAAACATAAGTTTGTCTTCAAATTCGTTTATAGTCAAGTAGAGAAGTAAACTGGATGGCTTAAAGTTAAACCGCCATGGCCGTTTTCCTCCATAATGGCTCGCGTAAGTACTTCTAAATGTCCTTTTTATAAATAACCGCTATGATATCTCAAAAAAAAAGTTCTAATTATTCTTCTATTATTACCCAGTTCTGAAGGCAAATCCATCCGAGCACTATGACAGATCTGATGTCGCTGTATTTTTCCATAGAAAACAGGGAGAACAGGCATATCAGGAGGATCGGAACCCAAACTAAAAGTTTATCAACTACTTCCTGTAATTTCTAATTTTTCTAACAGCAAGAATAAAAGGTTGAAACGGCAAGAATTAAACGTTGAAACGCCGTTCTCAAGGAGAACTCTTACACAAAAATATGTAGGATTATTAAAACACCCATTAAAGTTAAGCTGGATAAATGAATGATAATCGAAGTTGGCCGTTAAAAGCAATATCTCCTTCAAGAACTAGTTTCATCATACCAAGAAAAAATCTCAATACGCAAAGAAAATGGTTTTTTCCTCCGTCTGCGAAAATTCCAGCATAATTCCCTCAAATTATTGAAAATGAAAGCCTCCTTTATGGTAGATTGTTACAACAGTTAATTGTAGTCCCCCCTAGTGGGATTCGGACTGGAGTCTTTGGTCTAGACTTAGAGAGTAAGCCTGGGAGCTCATTAATAGCACCCTCGCGGGGCAGGGCCCATGATTTACTAAGATGACTCCACTGTAATCAATCCGCTATTCAGTCCTAATCCAATAATTCAGACGCATTGAAAAATAGAGGATCGAGAGTGAGTTACAGGGGGAGATTTGTTTTCTTTTATTATTTTTTTCTCTCTCTTTAAAATATCCAAACGGGTCGCCTATCCCTTAACATCTCCTCCCACGCGACACACCGAGGATTGAATTTTAAACTGGTCGATTCGGCGGTCACGACTCGGGGCAAAACTGTAAATTCCACGTACATGAATGGAGTATTCTTAATAATAGTGAAGTGGTTAACAGTAACTAAGACATATGTATGGGGACCTAATGCCCGGACGCGGCTACAATGCTTGCCCATTATCCTGTCACAAGGTGGACGAGCGCTTTTCCAATTAAATCTACCGAAAGAGCCGAGTCGGGGTGAATTAGCACCTTTTCCAGTACGAATGGAACTTAATCATCAACACTTATTTATTTAATTTATTGTCA